CTTTTAAGTAATACTAACCAAGTAAAAAATTGTTTAGAAATTCAATTGTAGGGCTGGGTGTGGTGTCTTATGTCTGTAAACCCAACACTTTGGGAGGTCAAGGTAGGTGAATTTCTTGAGCTCAGGAGTTTGAGACCAGCCTGGACAACAGGACAAAACCCTGTCTCTACAAAAATTACAAAAATTAGCTGGGCATGGTGGTGCACACTTGTGGCCCCAGATACTCAGGAAGCTGAGGTGAGAGGGAGGATTGCTTGAGCCCAGAAGGTGGAGGTTGCAGTGAGCCAAGATTATGCCACTACACTCCAGCCTGGATGGATGACAGAGCAAGACCCTGTCTCATAAAAATAAATAAATAAATAAAAAGAAAAGAAAGAAAAGAGATTCAGGCCGGGCACGGTGGCTCAAGCCTGTAATCCCAGCACTTTGGGAGGCCGAGGCGGGTGGATCACGAGGTCAAGAGATCGAGACCATCCTGGTCGACATGGTGAAACCCCGTCTCTACTAAGAATACAAAAAAAATAGCTGGGCGTGGTGGCGCATGCCTGTAATCCCAGCTACTCAGGAGGCTGAGGCAGGAGAATTGCCTGAACCCAGGAGGTGGAGGTTGCGGTGAGCCGAAATCGCGCCATTGCACTCCAGCCTGGGTAACGAGCGAAACTCCGTCTCAAAAAAAAAAAAAAAATCAAAAAAAAAAAAAAAAGAAAAGAGATTCAGTTGTAGGAGATTGGGCTAATTTTTCTCAAGTTCAATAATAAATTATTACAATTCTTACTCAAATGAAGACAAATTTTTTTTTTTTTTTTTTTTTTTTTGAGACGGAGTTTCGCTTTTGTTACCCAGGCTGGAGTGCAATGGCGCGATCTCGGCTCACCGCAACCTCCGCCTCCTGGGTTCAGGCAATTCTCCTGCCTCAGCCTCCTGAGTAGCTGGGATTACAGGCATGCGCCACCACGCCCAGCTATTTTTTTTGTATTCTTAGTAGAGACGGGGTTTCACCATGTCGACCAGGATGGTCTCGATCTCTTGACCTCGTGATCCACCCGCCTCGGCCTCCCAAAGTGCTGGGATTACAGGCTTGAGCCACCGTGCCCGGCCCGAATGAAGACAAATTTATTTATGAAACTGCATGGAGCCAGATCGCAGATGTTTTGACGACATACTATATAGAAATGTTTTTGAAATGCTTGCTTCCTATGTACCCACCTTTAGTTATTTATTTTAAATTGTTTTTCTTTTTTCACTCTTGTTGCCCAGGCTGGAGTGCAGTAGTGCTGTCTCAGCTCACTGCAACCTCTGCCCCCCGGGTTCAAGTGATTCTCCTGCCTCAGCCTCCCAAGTAGCTGGTATTATAGGCACCTGCCACCATGCCCAGCTACTTTTGTATTTTTAGTAGAGATGGGGTTTCACCATGTTGGCCAGGCTGGTCTCAAACTCCTGAGCTCAGGTGATCCTCCCACATCAGCCTTCCAAAGTGCTGGGATTACAGGTGTGAGCCACTGCACCCGGCCTATTTTTCTGACATAGAAAATGATAAATATGGGATAACACATCTATAGCAGAAATCATGTTTATTATTATTATCAGAGTCTTCCCAAATGCCTGGCACGTACTAAACACAGTACATATTTAAAGAGTGATTGGGCTGGGTGCTGTGGCTCACGCCTATAATCCCAGCACTTTGGAAGGCTGAAGTAGGTGGATCTTTTGAGATCAGGAGTTCAAGACTAGCCTGGTCAACATGGTGAAACCCTGTCTCTATTAAAAATACAAAAATTAGCCAGGTATGGTGGCAGGTGCCTGTAGTCCCAGCTACTCAGGAGGCTGAGGCAGGAGAATGGCTTGAATGCAGGAGGCAGAGGTTGCAGTGAGCCAAGATCATGCTACTGCACCCCAGCCTGGGCAACAGGAGCAAGACTCCTTCTCAAAAGAAAAACAAAAAAAAAAAAAGATTGAATATTTTTGCGGTTGAATACTTTTTTTTTTTTTTTTTTTTTGAGACAGAGTCTCCCTCTGTCACCCAGGCTGGAGTGCAGTGACACGAACTCAGCTTACTGCAACCTCTGCCTCTCGGGTTCAAGCAGTTCTCCTGCCTCATCCTCCAGAGTAGCTGGGACTACAGGTGTCCACCACTATGCCTGGCTAATTTTTATTAGAAACAAGGTTTCACTCTGTTGGCCAGGCTGGTCCCAAACTCCTGACCTCAAGTGATCCGCCTGCCCCAGCCTCCCAAAGTGCTGAGATTATAGGCGTGAGCTACTGTACTTGGCCTAGAATACTTTTTGTTTCACCAAACAATATAATTTATTTCAACAATATCACTATCTGATGTTCCTCTTTCCATCATACAAATTGAAGCTCTAGTTTTATAACTAGAAGACTCATGTCTCTTCTGGTCTCTTTACAGTGTGATCTGTTGGCCCTCACTTTGTAACACTTCTGGTCAGATGAAGTTAACACAAATCAACATTTCTTCCTCTACAAGAGAGGCTGACATTCTGATTTGGAAATCTTAATTGAAGACATTTGGCTTATACTCTCGGAAACTTCAGGCTTGCATAATACTTTGACTTCTAGCTTAATTCTTGTGGAATCTTGGGCTTTAGGCCCCTCTCCTCAAGTTCTTTCTGTGGCTCAGCCAAATCTTGCACATCCTTCCAGCCCAGCGTAAGCCTTCCTCCCTCTGTGACACCTTCTGCCACGGTGATCTTGCCCTTCTACCTGCTCCTTGGAACTTCATTGTCTTTTCCACTCACTTGGTGCCTAATGGACCATACTGCCTTGTCATACCCTTTGTGTTTAGTCAGAGCATCTGTCTCAAGCAGCTTGTAACCACCTTCAGATGGGAGGCCCACAGTGCCTAACACAGTCATGATAATCATAGTAATCACCAGCATTTACTGAGTACTTACCATGTGCCAGGCCCTATTCTAAGAGTTTGTTATGGATGACTTCAGTTAAACTTCACCTCATTCAAAGGGGATAGTGCTGTTACAATCCCACTTTCCGGATAAGGAAGCAGAAGAGCAGGGGAATTGGGTCACTTGCCCAGGGTAGCTAGCAGAGCCGGGATTTATTTATTTATTCATTTATTTATTTGTAGTAGTTTCTTTCTTTTTTTTTTTTTTTTTTTTTTGAGAGGAAATCTCACTCTATCACCGAGGTTGGAGTGCAGTGGCATGCTCTCAGCTCACTGCAACCTCTGCCACCCAGTTTCAAGCAATTCTCCTGCCTCAGCATCCCGAGTAGCCGAGATTACAGGCATGTGCCACCACGTCCGGCTAATTTTTGTATTTTTAGTAGAGATGGGGTTTTACCATTTTGGCCAGGCTGGTCTTGAACTTCTGACCTCATGATCCACCCGCCTTGGCCTCCCAAAGTGCTGGGATTACAGGTGTGAGCCACCACGCCCAGCCTAGTGGTAGCATTTTTTTTTGACCTGGAGCCTCACTCTGTCACTCAGGCTGGAGTGCAGTGGTGCATTATCAGCTTGCTGCAACCTCTGCCTCCCGAGTTCAAGTGATTCTCCTGCCTCAGCTTCCCTAGTAGCTAGAACTACAGGTGCCCGCCACCACACCCAGCTAATTTTTTGTATTTTTAGTAGAGACGGGGTTTCACCGTGTTAGCCAGGATGGTCTCAATGTCCTGACCTTGTGATCCACCTGCCTTGGCCTCCCAAAGTGCTGGGATTACAGGCATGAGCCACTGTGCCCGGCCAGAGCCAGGATTTAAACTCAAGTGCTCTGAGAACAGAGCCTGAGCCACCCTCAACCCCTACACTCTGTCGTGGCACTGGGGGTGCAGTAGTTGCTCAATACATCTTTGTTGACTGAATGAAAACATGGAGGCTTGGCCTGTGCAGAAGAGAAACTTCCAGAGGAGGCTCTGTTCTGTTATTCTTACAGCTTTACTGTTTGCCATCACTAATTGCACATCATTACTGTTGTTTCAGGAGCAAGATCCTGTGTGGTCCAGGAGGGAAAAGAGGTTAGGAAGTGAGATGCCCACACTCCTCTCCTGCCTTCCTCTCTTGCAGGTTGGGCAGAAAGCAAGTTGGGGCAGCTCTTCCTCCTGCTACCCCCTTGCTCTCAGAGCTAGCCACCAACCTGGAGCAGGGAGAGGTGGCAGGGAAGGCATGGCGGGAAGCGACAGCCTTAGGATCACTGGTTCCTGGGGCCTTTGCCTCCCGAGGCTCAGTCAACCGGATGTTCCTTTAGCTCACCGGAATTTGGCCAGATTTACAGAGATAAGATCAATCTGACCCTTAATTCCTTAAATGTAATTTATGGGCCTGCCTCCTGTGTGCCACAACACGTCTGGCTATCCGAAATCTGGTAATTATTTATGTAAACACAGCATCCTGCCTTTGTGGATTATAATTGGACTTGAACAGCAAGAAGCAGGGACTTACACAGTTGGGGCTGCACTGAAACCCTTCTTTTGAAAACACTCACCTGAGCCTTTGAAATCTTCCCTGTGGCTCATGGGTGGCTTTAACCAGACCAAAAAAAAAAAAAAAACTTTTTTCCTCCTCCTCCTGCAGGCCTGGGCACATTTATTCCCAAATACCACCAGGTTTTCCAGGTCCTCTCGGAGGATGGGGTGAAGCTACTCTGTCATCTGGGCTGGACTGAGAGGACAGGAGCCCTGGGAGGGAGCCTCCCCAGATCTCCTCATTGTCTGTTGGGACATGAATTTTTATACCCTCTCTAAGAATAAACAGGATTAGGAATTTTATGCTGTTTGGAAAAGAGGAGAGGTGGCTGGCACGAGAGAAAGATCTTTGTTTTTTATTCATGCTGTGAGTTCCCTAGGAGCCTTTGCTGTACATACACACATGAGAGCCAGGAGGATTAGAGGAAAGAAAATGAGCTGATTGAACCAGATGGTTCGGGAAGCACTCCCAGGAGGCTGCTGGGATGGATGAATCTGCATCTTTAAATAACATTAATTTCTGAAAGGGCCAAACTGTTTCCTAAATTAAGACACTGAACTCTTACCTTTCATCTATGTTTATGGCACCTCTCTGGTTGAAGCCAAGAGCTGCTACTTTCTGACAAACCAGCTCTGGAGAAATCCCTCATCCTTGATGCAGCTGGTGAGAAACTGCTTTCCTGAAGGAAAAAAGAAATCCTTAAGAATCAAAGCACTTTGAAAAACAGACTTAGGCAGAAACAACCACCCCTGGGTGATCAGAACAAGCTACCAAGTTCTGATGCCAGCTGAGACACTCATTTCCTCAGTGGCTGGGGGCAAACCACTTAACCTCAGTTTCCCCACCTGTAAAATGGGGTTAATAATGCTTACCTGCTGCAGAAGTGCTGTGAGGTTTAATTGGGTAATGGCTGCGGAGCCCTTTGATGTAGTCAGTTTTATTAACTTGCAAGGGATTCCCTGAGGCCAGAAAAAGCAGTTAAACCCAAGAGAGAGAAGAAAGGCACTAAAACGAAAGCAAAGCTCAGCTAAGCATTTCACCTCCAGCTCCAATTTCAGAAGTGCAGAGACCAGCTGCTCCATTGTGAATGGAAAGCAGTGGCTGGGGCTGGAGACTGAATGGCATCTGGGGAGAGAAAGCTTCAGGGTCATCTCAGAGGGAGCCTGGCTTTCAGACTGTGAAGGGTGAAGGTAAGCAAGTAGTCTTGCTTGATCAAACCAGGGTAATTCTTTAGCCCCACTGAGGTTCTTTGCTATGAACCTTCTCCAGTAAGACAATTATTTTGCTGTTAATCCAAGGTCCTTATCACTGAATTTAGAAACCCCTAGCCTCTGGCCTCTTGCTTCTCGACAATTAAATAGAGAACTGGCCTCTAGCCAGGATTGCTGACCAGAGCAGAGTTGGAGGGACAGCACCAACCAAAGGCCAGAAAACCGGGGGCGTTTTCCAAGTTCCACATTCACAGCTAGGCAGACCAACCTAGACTGCTCAGCCAGCTCTGTGCCTCAGTTTCCCACTCTATAAAATTGATTGTGATCACACATCCTTGCCGTTAAGGCCCAAGTAATTAAGATTTGGAATGTGAAAATGCACTAAAATGACAACGAACAAACCCCTACTTGCCCTTCAGTAAGTTAAAAAAAAAATTTATTTTGAATTTGAATTATTTGAATAATATAATAATTCTCCAAGCCAACTCATTCAGCCTAAGAGACCCTATGCTCCTCCTGCTCCTTTCTAGCTTTTGGTGAGTGCCCAGCACACAGCCACAATCATTCAGCATCAGCTACATGAACACAGCCCAGGAGGGTGATCAGCTTGTCCTGGTTTGCCTAGACTATGCCCATTTTAGCTCTGAAAAGCTCATGTTCCAGGAGCCCCTCCTCATCCCAGGCAAACTAGAATGGTTGGTCACCCTAACATGTCCTTGGGCTGTTTGGAAAGTGCTGGCCACACTTCCTGTCAAGCAGCTATTGACCTACCACGGGCATATCTTGGGAAAAGGGGCGCTGTGGTCAGGCAGAGCTGAGGAGTCCTATGATCCAGGCTGTCATTCCTGGCTCTGCCTCTAATGACCTCAGATGAGACCCGTGGCCTCAGTTTCCTCATCTGCAAAGGGAGGCAGTGTGACATGGTGCCTTTTCACCTTTCCTCCAGGAGACATGGCTGCAAAGACAGGCCTGTCAACCTGCCCAGCCCTAGGGGGGATGCTATGTACTTTGCAATGAGTGGCAAAACACACAGTCTGGGGACACACTGGGGACCAAAGTCCATCCCTGCTTGTGGGATTCCACTCCTTGGTGCCCACTGACTCCTTCAATGCCCTTTCTTTGTGAGGAGGAAGCACATGGCTGGGAATGTGTTAGCCCTCAACCAACCAACTGAGTGTTGTACGTGTCTCTTTAGATCCCTTTCCTTCCCAAAATGCACACATTATATCCCTGAGATCTGAAACTTGACTTTTCCAAGACTATGTTCAAGTTTGGCAAAATGAGTGCTGAGTCCAAAAATTAAAGCAATTTAAAGTGATTAAATTTAAAAGACCCACTGTTTCCCTTATCGTAGTTTAGGTTACACGTTTTAGCATGGTTTTCTATTCCTGTGTTTTATTTTACCATATAAACAGAAATACCTGCTGTTAAAGGAAGTAAAATTCTATAAATTCTACATATGTTTTGTCTTCCTTGTCCAGATTTTCCAGCCAGCCCATTGCCTGGATATCCCCTTTGTTCGACCCCTGTAGACAGAGGAGATGATCAGGGTTGGGATTGTTTTGATGGAGGGGGCTTTCTTTTTGGGGATTGATTCTTTTTAAAATGCCCTTGATAGGCGCTTATGTTAATGAAAACAGTCTTCTCATGACAAATCAGAACCTGGCTTTTATTGCATTTAAAAAAAAAGTAATTTACATTAAGAAGAAACGGGAAACAATGATTGAATCAAAGCCACCCCGAGCAGCTTCCCCCTGCTCTGCCTCATCTGAAAACAACCCTGTTTCCATTTCACCGCTGAGCTCAGCCTGCCTGCTCCAGACGTCCAGACCTCGCACTCTATAAATTGTCTCTGCCCTTGCCCCGGAGTTGCTGACTATATGTATTTTTGGGCCCGGCATTAATTCCCTCATCCTTGGCTGGTGACATTAAGATTTGTAACTGATAGAATGTGTTTTTAATGTATTTCCTGCAGGTTACTATTAAAGAAATCTAATTCTTCTGAACTTGCAAAAGGTTCTGCTTCCATTAAAAAAAAAAAAAAGGTATTACGGGAAGAATTTCCCCAAAATCTCCAGATGGACTGGGCAGCCAGAGGGGTCTGGGGCTCCAGAATTCTCTGCTTAGCTCTGCCACTCACTCTTCCTCCTCCCGTCCAGTCCATTCTCTCTCTGCACCTTAGTTTTCCTGGGTATGAAATGAGGATAAATATTTGTCTACGAGATGAGGGTGTTGTAAGGATTAATTGGTTGGTGTTTCGGGAAGCCTTTGAAGATGAAAGACGCGCTCTGCAGATGCTAAGTGAACTCATAACGTGTCTGGTTTTAATGAGCCAGGTGAAGCCAGTGGCGATGGCTGGAGATTAACTGTGCCTAGTTCAGAGGCTGCCTGCATGGGCTGGACTGGAAACGGGGTGGAGCTCCCCACTGGTCCCCTGGATTTGATCCCATCACTGTTTCCCCTGACTCCTGGCACAGAGCCTGGCACATTGGTTCTCTAGAAATATATGCAAAAGGAAATGAGTTAGAATTCAACCTAGCCTCTCATGATGCAGAGAGCAGGGGTTCAGACTTCCTAAATCATGCTATTGACTCTCATTCTAGCACATGGCCTGGGCAAATTACTTAACCTGTGAATCTCAGTACCTCATTTGCCAGTGGGGATAGTCAGAGCCCCCAGTCTCGAGGGTCTGTGGTGAGGATTTGTCATAAACATGGCTAACAGCAATGGAGCACTTGATGGATGTCAAATACAGGTTCTAAGCATTTTGCACTCATAAACTCACTAAACTCTCCCCACCAGGGAAGGACTCTTTTTTTTTTTTTTGAGACGGAGTTTCGCTCTTGTTACCCAGGCTGGAGTGCAATGGCACCATCTCGGCTCACCGCAACCTCCGCCACCTGGGTTCAGGCAATTCTCCTGCCTCAGCCTCCTGAGTAGCTGGGATTACAGGCACACGCCACCATGCCCAGCTAATTTTTTGTATTTTTAGTAGAGACGGGGTTTCACCATGTTGACCGGGATGGTCTCGATCTCTCGACCTCGTGATCCACCCGCCTCGGCCTCCCAAAGTGCTGGGATTACAGGCTGAGCCACCGCGCCCGGCCGAAGGGAAGGACTCTTATCCCCATTCTACAAAAGGCAAAACTGAGGCACAGAGAGATTACTTCATAGCTTACTCAAGGCCTGAGTTCTTCAGTGTTAGTGAGACCACTGCTCACAAAGTGGAATACTGCCTGTTATACCTAACAGAGTGCTGGACACGTAAGTGCACAACAAATAAGTTGCTTGAGGGGTTCTCAGACTGCCGGATTTGCCCAACCAGGAATATAGACGCCAGGAGAAAAGGGTCCAGAGCAGACACAGACAGGGGCCCCAAGCTGGGGGAAGTCACCAGGTCCATTGTAACAAGCCAACGTGGTGCAGGTTTCAGAAAGGTGTAAGTCTGGGTCTACTCAGGGTGACCGCATTTGGGACCCATGATACTTTGTCAAAAAATATTTTCCTACCAATTCATGGTACCTCAAAGACAATCTGAGCTACAAGGTTTGAATGCTGACCTATGGGAACTCCTGGGATGGTGCCATGGCTTATGGTGGAGGATCGTGCTATTTACTGTTGCTATTCCAGGCAGTCAACAAACCAAGGATCAGAATGAATCAACATACATCAAGACTCTGGCCCAAGCAGTCCTCTGCGTCCACCTAGGAGCCAGAAGGGAGACTGAGACCCATGGAGGAATGATTTCACACTCCAGCACTGTGACATCACAGCCCAGGCTCTGACACAGGAAGGGAAGCAGCTGAAACGTGGGTTGGGGAAGCCTCTGGTCAGAACAGAAATATCTTCAGTAACTGCTACTGGTGATAGAAGGGGAAATGGAATTTTGTTTAAATATTATGTTGTTTTGAAAAGTCTGACTAATGTGAAAGTCCCTATTTAAAAAGGAGTTGACTCTACATTGAAATTGGTTGGTGTTTCCACACCCACATGTTGACTAAGGCCTTGAAAAACAAACTTCCTGGTAGATCCTGATGCAAATCACCTGGGAGCAAAGGCTTGAAGGTACAATCTGTGAGCTGTGAGCAGACTGGCCTAGCCAAGAAAAATCCTGGGTCTGTGTTTATGAAAAGGCAAACAGATCCCAAAAGGAGGCCCAAGCCCTAGCTGGCTTTGGGCACCGGCCCTCCAGGAAAGAACACACAGATTGGAAGGAGGCCCTAGCACACGTCTCTGGGACCCCATTTCAGAGCCCCTCTCAGAAGCACAGAGAATGAGGGAAGAGAGGAAGGGCCACATGGAGCCTTCTCTTACTGAGCATAAATGTGTGTCATTCACTGAATCTTTAGCACAGCCCCATGAAGCATGGAAATTCATCACAATGTCCATTTTTCTGATGTAGAAATAGGCTCAGGGAGTTTCAGCAGTGTGACCTATGTCCCAGTTTGCCCCAAAGAGTTTTGATTTA